ATAGATATATATAATGTGGTGGGCATTACTTGAAACTCACTTAAGTGAGATATATATCACATTCTGTAGAATACTTGTTCTGTGCCTCCATGGGTCCTCCTCTGGCCCCAATAACAGTATACCTATGCTTCCCTCCTACACACCACCATACTGTTGCCCTTACTTTTTTTCTGTTTGTAGATATGACTCATAAATATTAGAGAATGTTGTCTAAAGCAAAAGAACTTTTTTTCATAAGAACTACTTTAAATGCATATAGACTTAATGGTCTTATCACTTTTCTTATATCATATTTTTATTATAGTTGAATAATAATTAGTCAAATATCAATAAGAGAAAGGTTCAAATATTCAGTAAGTGTGTTTCAGTGTAGGAGGTAGACAAGGAAATGAATGGTGACAATTTGATAGAGAATAGCGCTGGTTATATAGCTCAGTGGCACAGTGTCTGCCTGGTAAGTATGCACAAGGTCTTCAGTTCTATTTCCAGTGCACTCAAAAAAATTCACAGAAAATCATCTGTGATCTTATAAATGATCTGAAATTAATAATTTTATGCACAGTTAAATTATTTGGGAAAAATGAAAATTGTGAGGGTAGAAAAAGAGCAAAGGAAAAAAAAGGGAAATTTACAACTTCTATAGTGAAAGAGATTTTCTCCTTATTCCCCAGTAAGCAGGTGACCAACTTAATTTTCAGTAAAGTCAGGAATGCGGTTTTCTATCAGTTACTCTAATCCTACCTGTTTTAGAGAAGCCAGCAGTTTTAATGTTTAACAATGTATTTTAATTTAATAATGTTTAACAATGTATTTTCTTTGAATTACCACTGACTTCCCTCATCTCAGGAAAATAGGATGATTACAGAACACAGTGGGAGTGGAAAGTAACTTGAATGTTTAATTCTCACAGTGAAATAAATACAGCAGGATCTCAATAAACAGACCACAAAACTACACTGTAAAATCCTAGCTCGGAGGCTCTGTGTGAGGCCCCCCCCAGACATGAAGCTCTGGTGGTTTTAATGTTTAATTCACTTGTTTTCATTTATTGTGATAACAGATTCAGTAAGAAGAACAAGGAAAACACTGAGCCTTATGCATTCCTGCCCTTTGGAATTGGGCCCAGGAACTGCATTGGCATGAGGTTTGCACTTATGAACATGAAAATTGCTATCACCAGAATCCTGCAGCATTTCTCCTTACAACCTTGTAAAGAAACACAGGTGAGCCTGAATATTTTGTATGTAATGTCTTTTAAGAAGGGTTAAAAAAAGATGTTTATATAGAAAATATATCTTCCCATAATTTGTTCAAAGTGCAGAAAAGATCTACTTGGATCCAAGTAACATGTTTCCATTCATGAGCTATAAATCAGCACATCTAAAGCACAACAACAAAAATAATCATATGGCCCTCATGCTGATAGACATGGCATGATTATGTGTGCTCTTTGATTTGAATGAATTTTAGAATTCAGCTCACACCAGGTAGAGACTGAATGTGTTCTCCAGAATCATCAGGAGAAATGATCACCTCATCATGATGTGTGAGTAGTGCTGTGTTCTGGCAGAACATACAAAAGCTTCCTTGTACCAGTGGTTTTTACCAATGGGCTGTGCACTGGAGTCACTGACAACTTTCTGATGCATTTAAAACAGATAACTGCACCAGGATCTTCTCAGATATTTAAAGTTATTTCACAAAGAGAATGGACTGAAAATCTCTCCATTGGCTCTCATGTTGTTCCCAGTTTGAGAGTGACTACTTTATTCTTTTTACTTAATTTTTTTTGAGAGTAGAATATTTTATTGGGAAAGAAAGCTTCTGTCTCAGAGAAGACAGAAGGGGGACCCGAGCGGGTTGACCCTTTTACTTAATTTTATTGAGAAACAAATAGCAGTGAGATAGTTTCAAAACAAATTAGTAGAAAAAATAATTAGTATGACAGTTTCAATAATCAGTACATTGCATATTTTATCTTAGGTACTGGATATTCACAGTACAAGATGCACACATGATATTCAGTCCAAATACTATTAGTACAAATTTTTCTTCTCATTGAATTAAGAGAAAGTAGCTGTATATCTATCTTACCTGTTTTGTATATACAAATACAAAATAGTCATTCATTTGTATCCCTTTTTTTGTTTGGTTTTGTCAGAGATGGGTATTCCCTTACAAAATTAAATATTGTAGGTGTGTGAATTCAGCAAAATAATCCAATATAGTCCAGTAGTTCATAACAGTTGTGGATTATCCATAGAATTGGGGATGTCAGAAGTTGTTGACTTGAGACTTTTACAAGTCAGTATATTAATATGGCTTTACATTTTTATACTTTTCTGCTGGATGGTTAAGACCAAGATAAAGCAAGAAATATATAATGAAAAATGTAACTATTGCATCTGACAAGGTCAATCAAGTCCCCTCAGGATTTACCCTGAAACCCTGTGCCACAGTTTGTAGATGTTTTGTCAGTGTCAGCCATGTGGATGAGTCACAGCCATTGCTTGACCAATTTGCTTTCTGTGAAAGCCTAAGGAGGAAAAAAAAAGAAAGAAAGAAAGCCTGTGAGAATATTTTCTCTCCATGTGACTCTCCTAAGGCAAACCCTACCTCATCGATCAGTTTCCTCTGTAGCCCCATAATCTCCTTGATCAGCAAATTTGGGACACAACTGAGTTACAGGACATTGTGGTACAGGTTCGCCTATGTCCTGAGTCCTCACTGACCTTGAAAGGCTAGGGCCAAAATGTTGGCTGTCTTTCAGTCCTTCTTTTTTTCTAATTTTTGGTCTGCAATCTTAAGTTGTTAACCCTCCAGAAGAGAAGCTTAATGATATTATTACCCTATAACACAAGCAATTGAACTGAACCTCACTATCTGTCTGAATATTAAACATCTGAGACATAACATGGGACAGGTACTTTCCATCAAGTATTGATATGCTAAACTTTAAATCCCTACAGAATGTGAAGAAAAAAATAGGAATAAACAATTACATACTTTTACACAGAAATTTAGAAATCTAAGCATATGCAGCATTATAGCAGGACAGTTTTATGACTTTTTTTTTCTTGTCTCTTGTTTTCATTTATTACCCTTTTTTAAACAAATATTTACTTGAGAGATAGTATGGCAATAGTTGGTAGGACGCAGAGAGCAAATTGGTCAGGCAATGGCTATGACTCATCCACGTGGCTGACACTGACAAAGGATCTACAAACTGCGGTACAGAGTTTCAGAATAAATCCTGAGATTTGACTGACCTTATCAGATACAAAAGTTACATTTCTTGTTATATAGGTCTTGCTTTATTTTGGTCCTAATCATCTAGCAGAAAAGTGTATAAATGAGGTATAAAAAGTGAAGCCATACTAATATGTTGAGCTGTAAAAGGCTCAAGTCAACAATTTCTGATATTGCTAGTCTTGTGGAAGACCTACTACAATTATGGACTACTGGACTATATTGGAATATTTTGCTAATTTCATGCACCTACAATATTTAGATGACAATGGGATACCCTTCTCTAAAAAAACTAAACAAAAATGGGGGATATAAATGAATAACCATTTTGTATCTGTATACTCAAAATAGGATAGATATACAGATGTATTCTCTTAATTCAATGAATAAAGAGATTTGTTCTAATAGTGTTTGTAAACAGGATGTCATGTCTGCATCTTGTACAATGAATAACCACTAAGACAACAATATGAAATGTATTAATTATTGAAACTGTGCTAGTAATCAGATTTGAAACCTTCTCATTGCTATTTATTTCTCAATAAAATTATTTTTAGAAAAAGAAGTGTTTTTCATCAAGTATTGATATGTTGAACCTTTCACTGACCTTGTCAGACCAAAAAGCTACAACTCTTGTTGCACAGGTCCTGCTTTACCTTGGTCTTAACCATCCAGTAGAAAAGTATGAAGATGAAATATAGGAAGTAAAGCCATGTTGTTATGTTGAGCTGTGGGGGACTCAGGTCAATAATTTCTGACATTGCCAGTTAAACAGAAAACCCAATTATATTATGGGCTTCTGTACTCTTTTAGAATATTTTGCTGAGTTTACACACCTATAATATTCAACAACAGAACTTAAAAAAATTGGGGTAAAACTATGAATGTCCATTTTGTATCTGTGTATTCAAAGTGGTTGGGATAGATACATAGTTGCATTCTCTTAATGAATAGAATGATTTTTTCTAATGGTGTTTGTAAGTAGGATCACAAGTCTGCATCTTGTACAGCAATTAACCACTGAGAAGAATGTATGCAGTGTATTATTTGTTGAAACTGTACTTTCGATTTGATTTGAAACTGTCTCATTGCTATATGTTTATCAATAAAACTTTGAAAAGAAAAAAGAAAAAGAAGTGATTGATGGTTTTTTGAAATTATTAGCAAAATTTTTCAGCTATTTTACTTATCACCCTTCACAAATGACATTTATGCACCTTTGTATATCTGTCCGTTATGTTTTTGTGTTTGTGCATATATCTTTTTGTTGTCCTGCCTCTGGGGAAAATACACACATGGCATTTGAAATTTTGCAATAAGGTTGTACATTTAGAGAAGTATTTGAAATGTCTTCTCTGCAGAACTAAAAGAAAAAATGTCTTTGTTTCATATGAAGCAATGTTTAGTAAATACATAGTACTCCTGAATTTATGTCATTCTCTCAGGAGGCTTTCTGTGGGGGATAGGAGGCAGATAGAAGTGCTTATCATTTTTGTTGTGTCTTTCTAGTAGCTTTTTTACTTTGTACATATTTTCTCTGTGTGTACAAAGCAGAGTCTTACTCTCTAAAAAGAGCATATTTGGGACACCTGAGATGGGTAAATCTTCCCTCATAAGCTACCAGTACCTGTAAACTGGAGTTTGCTTAAGCTATACTCATTCCTCCTGTAATATCATCTGAAGAGTATTTGGTTGCATGCTCTACACTGGTGAACTAATGATGGAGAGAGAATGAGGAGTATGGCTCAGACATATCACTATAGGACTCGAAAACCTCCCATTTGCCTGCCTCTTAGAAGTCAAGGGAGAGATGGAAGGATTTAAAGACATAATTCTCACTAAAAATCCCTTATCCAACAATAAAGGAATGGGTTCAATTATGATGAATGCCAAGAGTCTTTAGAGGGGTCTCATATAGCTGAAAGGTACAATATCAATGCAGGATTATTTGGCAAGTTTTTTAAAATCACAAAAGGAACTTTTGTGTCCTTAAAAAAGTTTCCCCTAATCTGTAAGTATCTAGCTTGATTTTTATACTTTGACATTTACAGCAAGGAAAATAAAGACAGCGTAATAAATTTTGTCTTATGCCCTGGAGAGAATGGATGTTCATTAAGCTCTAAGTGAATATTTAGATGAAAGCTTTCGCTATCCCTTTTGGATTCAGCTTAGAAAATAATTGATTCAAGATATATGATGCTAAAATACTTTTTATGCTTTAAGCTTACTGTTATTTGTGTATTCATGCTTTTCTTCACTGATTTTTGGAGTCATTGGCCACTTCTTTTACTCTCACAGATTCCCCTGAAACTAAGCAGAAAAAATATTCTTCAACCAGAAAAATCCATCGTTCTGAAGGTTGTATCAAGAAATGGAACCTAAAGCAGAGCCACAATTTCCCTCAGGACTGTGGCTATGTTCTTGAACCTGCTGTATTCCAGAATACTGTGTTAAGTTCTTTTGGGAAAAAAAAACTCAGCAAAAAATTAATCAATCCACATCCTTCGAATGAATAGTTTAGTACATTCATGGAGCTTGTTCAGTGTCATATATTATCTGCTGTATTATATAAAGAAAATGACTGAGTCAATGTCAGATAGGTAGATTCAGCTTCTCTGATTATCATGGGACCACTTTCATTCACCTTAGTTTATAGTGCTGATTAAAGTAAACATTTCTTCATAATTTATCAAAAAAATCTAATGATAATGGAATCATGATAACTCTATCACATTTATATAAAATATTTTATAATGCAGTCACTGGTTATGTGGGCCTGCTGTTAATTACATTTGGATTACTAGGAAATGTGTGATTTAACAAATTTTGTGCTTATTGCTTGCAAAGTGTATTCATAGTTTATTTTGTTTTGAAATACATTTTTTGTGAAACTCGATGAAAAACGTATATTTTTCTTTGTTTTCATTTACTACTCTTTGTCTTTATGCTCCTGGATGTTCAGGAAAATGTTTTCATTGCCTTTTCACATTCCTTCCAAGCCCAATACCTCAATGGAATAAACAATGAAATAAAAATGGCTGTTCAGTTCATCTGAAAAGAAGTCTAAATCAAGTTCACGTGATATTCTTTCTTCCTTCCTTCCTTTCTTTCTTTCCTGCTACCCTACCTTACTAAGTTAAGTCCTAAAATCATTAGACATGTGAAAGAAAGCAGGCCTCACACCAGGGTAGGGGACAGAGTCATGGTTTCTGCAAGTCAGACCAAGTAGAACAAAGAAGCTGACTCTGTAAGGGGCAGCCTGAGTTGGGTGTGAGGGCCCAAAAAAATGTGGGAAACATATATATCATGGTGTGTCACAGCACCAAGAGTATTCCCTGATAGAGTGTAAATATCCTAGGTGTGGGGAGGAATGCATGTCTGAGACAACACGGGTGGAAGATGGCTGTATAAACAAATCTTATCCAAAATTAATTATACCAAGGATTGGAGATGCTTATTTTTCTCACTGATTGGCTAATGAAGTCACTGATTCATAGAGTGAGGTAACTATGATGAACCCTTTGAAGCCCAGACTTGAATGGATTATTCCAGCATAAGCTCATACTTTGCTAGATATATGGCACATAGCTCTGTGTGTGTGTGTGTGTGTGTGTGTGTGTGGTGTGTGTACATGTGTGTATGTGTGCAAGTAGATATGAAAATATATTCTTCACATATTTCTAGTACAAAATTAATATGGCATTCCAGAAGTGATGATGATATTTAGTTCCCAGATCTTCATACATGAATACAATTTTCCATTATACAGAGTAACTTCAGACCCAGTCCAAGCCAAGGTCCAGTGAGTGTGCGGAGAGCTTCCTGCTATCCTGTGCCTGTGGGACCAGTCTGAGCCCAGGCTCAGTGTGGGCCGGACCCTCTCCCACCTCCTTGGGCCGCCCCCAACAACTCCCCAGTACCTACCCCACCCCGCCAGCCAAGTAGGAATTTCTGCCCAGTTCCAGGAAGCCCCAGACCCAGTCCTAGCCCAGTTCCAGTAAGTGTGCACAGAGCTTCCTGCTATCCTGCAAAGGCCAGAACAATCCCAGCCCAGGCACAGAGTGGGCCGGATGCTCTCCCACCCACTTGGTCCGTCCCTCACCACTCTGAAGTACCTCCCCCATCCCGCCCACAGAATAGGAATTTCTGCCCTTCCCGGAAGCCCCAGACGCAGTCCTAGCCCAGGTCCAGTGAGTGTGTGGGAGAGCTTCCTCTTCCCCCTACTTCACCTGGCCCCCTCCAGGCACAGCTCAGTCCTGGAATACATGCTTGGGGTGTAAACCTGCAGCTGCAATCCCTGCAGAGTGTAGAGGATAGATCCAACCAGCTAGTCCAGGAGCAGAACATCTTGCCACAGGGGCACAACAGGTTCAACCTCAAGGGCAGCAGCGGGAAGGAGCTGAGCACAGCAGCTAGACCCAAGCCAGACGCAGCTGGATAACTCCAAACTTTGGAGAGCTGAACCTGAACTTCAGTACGTGCAAAGGTTATAACTACAGCAAAGATCTACAGCAAAGGTCAGAAAACAGTGCTACATAAAAAGACGGGAAGGAACAAAATGAAAACTCAGAACCCAAGCCCACCCGTAACAAGTGCAGAGGTCACTAACACAGAACAAATTGGAAATCAGACAGCTGAAGGCAATGAATCAACGGCTTCTGAAATAAAGAAACAGCTGCAGAAAGATGTACAAGACCTCAGATTGGAAATGAAAAAAGAAATACCTGAATTAATAACATTTGCATTAAAGAATCAAATGCAGACCCAGTCCTAGCCCAGGTCCGGTGAGTGTGTGGAGAGCTTCCTGCTACACTGCGCTGGTGGGATCAGTCCCAGCCCAGGCGCAGCGTGGGCTGGAACCTCTCCCACCCCTCGGGCTGCCCCTCACCACTCCGCCATACCTCCCCACCCCTCCCGCCCAGTAGGAATTTCTGCCAACTTCCAGGAACCCCCAGACACAGTCCTAGCCCAGGTCAGGTGAGTGTGCGGAGAGCTTCCTGCTACCCTGCACTGGCGGGACCAGTCCCAGCCCAGGGGCAGCGTAGACCGGACTCTCTCCAACCCCCTCGGGCTGCGCCCCAACACTCCGCCTTACCTCCCCCACCCCTCCCGCCCACTAGGAATTTCTGATGAGTTCCGGGAATGACCAGACCCAGTCCTAGCCAAGGTCCACAGTGGGAAGGAGCTAAGCACAGCAGCCAGACCTAAGCCAGAGACAGCTGGATAAGTCCAAACTCTGTAGAGCTCCACCTGAACTTCAGTACGTGTGAAGGTTATAATTACAGCAAAGATCTACAACAAAGGGCAGAGGACAGTGCTACACAAAATGATGAGAAGGAAGAAAATGCAACCTCAGAACCCAAGCCAACCCGTAAGAAGTGCAGAGGACACTAACACAGAAAAAATTGGAAA